AACCAAAAACAACCATGACCACGTGACAAAAAAAGAAAAAAAATACATAGTAAAAAAAGTTGCTTTTACTTGTTTTGGAGTTTTTTTCTTCGGATTCTGAGCTTGAAATCTGGACAATCGTTTTCGCTTCAATTTCATGTTCTTAGTTCTTTCTTTTTTATATCTCATTTTTCTTTGGGTACTGGTTTGTTCTACTACAAGCCGAAATATCCAAGGTTTTTCCAAGCGAGTACCACCATTTATATATATATATATATATATATATATATATATATATATATATATATATATATTTTATTTTATGTAAATCTTAATGACACGATGGCATGATTTTATTACTTAGAACTGAAGCAGTTGTACGACGTATTGTTCTGCGAAAACAGTATATGTGTTTTCATAAGACCACTTATTTTTTTAGTGAACAAATCTAAATAAGGTTCTAAAGAAGGTTGTAATAAACTGTTCTCTTTTATATTACACACTGATGTCTGAAAGAAAGTCTGGACAGGAAATGACTTGTAACCATTAATGCCTCAAAAACAAAACTGCTCTCATTTACCCACCGCAGAGAATCCTCTCTGCCTCCCGAATCAGCTTCCTTAGAATATCTGATGATCAAATCCACGAGAGGGCCTCTGCACCTGCTTGATCTCACGCTGTCCGCTGACCTAAGATGGAACAAATACAGTGAATCAATTGCTTCATCTACCGCAAGGAAAGTTGGTTTTCTGTGTCGCATGAGAAAGATTTTTTCTCGGCTGATTCTATCCTTCAAATCTATAAATCAACCATTCGCCCTTGCATGGAATACTCCTGCCATATATGGTCTGGAGCACCCGCTATTCGTCTAAAGGTCCTCAACAAAATCCAGAGACAGATATGCAATGTATTTGGTCCTGGTCTGGCATCGTCACAATCACTTTCTAATAGACGTGCCGTCGCTTCCCTCTGTCTTTTCTACAAATACTTTCACTGTAACTGCTCCGACGAGCTACTTTCGCTGGTTCCCAAACTGCATGAATTTAAACGTGCTACTAGGTTGGCACTTCGGTCCCACCCTTTCACTGTCGAAACGGTTAAATGTAGTCGTCTCTTTTACCTCAATAGCTTCATGTCTCGCACTTCCCGTCTGTGGAACTCCCTTCCTGTTACTTGCTTCTCTGATGTTTATAGTCTTCAAATATTCAAATGTAATGTCAATCGACATCTTCTGATGTCTTGATCTAATTCCCCGTCTTTCTCTTTATCCTTTCCTCAATCATGTCTCTTTACTCTTGCTAGTGTCATTCCCGACTTGCATGGGGTGAAATGCGACCAGTTTTCCAGCATCCTTAACGATATAAGTATAGCCTCTTCGGCGGGAAATCGATTTACTCTCGTTTATATTGCTGGATATCCATTAGTCATTTTGCTTTTGGCAAGCTAAACCGAATGAAAGCTGACATCGAAATATTAATAAAATTTATTAAAATCTTGTTTGTAAAATATTGATGAATATAAGTATTTTTTTTTTCTTTTTAGAATTATTTCCGTTCTCTGTCTACTCAATATAATAAGCCTGTTAGTTAATTAAGTCAATTTTCATGAACTCAGCGAAATTTCGACTGTCCTTTTATTAGAACTGGATGTAAAAAGCGGATGTAAGAATATTACTTTTACAAATACGACTGATATATTATTTGCATTTTTATATCATAAGAAATATTTCCAGAGCATGCAGAATACAAAACGAGAAAACTTCAAAGGGTATAAATGATTGACTTTTTATAATTTCAAGAAAATAGACATGTTTGTGATTTAATAAAAAAAAAAAAGGAAAAGATTTTTGATATCCCAATTAAATAGAAAAGCTTTTATGAAAGGCTGTGTTACAGACAATGAAAAACAAAGAAGGCGGCAAATGAAAACAGAAAAAAAAAGAGACAAAATTAGGGAAAGGCAGAGAACAAAATGAAATCCAAAAAAAGAAGGAGAAAAAAAAGGAAAGAAAAGAAGGAAAATGAAGAAAAAGGTGAGAATAGGAGACAAGCAGTAACTGAAGAAAAAAAAGTGATAAAGAAGAAAAACTAAAGTGAAGCAGAAAATGAGCAAATGATAAAGTGAAGAAGAGAAGGAGAAAAATGAAAGAAAAAGAAGGAAAGAGAAGATTAAAAAGAGAAAAGGAAGTGAATGAAAAAAAGAAAGAAAGAAAAAGAAGACAAAAATAAGACGAGGAAGAAAGTGAAAAAAAAGAAGAAAGGACAGAAAATAAAGTAAAAAAGGGAAAAAGAAGAAAATATAATAAAAAGGAAGAAAATGAAAAATAAAAAAAGAAGATAAAGTGAAGAAGAACGTGAAGAAAAAAAAGTAAGAGATAAACAAACAGAAGAGAAATATAAGACGAGGAAGCGGAGAAGAAAGTGAAGGAAAAAACAAGAAAAAAGGAGAAAATGAGAAAAAACAAAGGTAAAGGAAGGAGAACGAGAAGAAAAAAAAGTTAAGGTAAAAGAATAGAGAAGAAAAAGAAAAATAACATGAAGAAGAGAAGAAGACGAAAGTGAAGAAAATGAAGGAGAAAGAAGAACAAATCGAAAAAAAAATATAGTGAAGAAGTAAAGAAGAAATCGAAGAAAAATAAGAAGAGACGAAGAAAAGAAGATTAAAATAGCGTGAGGAAGAAAAGAAAGTGAAGAAGAAGAAGAAGAAGAAGAAGAAGAAGAAGAAGAAGAAGAAGAAGAAGAAGAAGAAGAAAAAGAAAAAAAAGAGAAGGAGAAACAGAGAACCATAATTGAAGAATTGAGGACAGACGAGGAGAAAACTGAAAAGAGACGACGGAAAAGAAGAGACAAATAAGGCGAAGAAAGAGAAAGAAAGAAAGAAAGAAAGAAAGAAAGAAAGAAAGAAAGAAAAAAAGAAAGAAAAAAGAAAGAAAGAAAGAATGTATAGGCCAAGAAAAAAAACCCCACTGCAAACACATAAGTCTAAAGTCAAGGAGAGTGAAAGTTTTACCCCAAAATGACAGATACATGTAAAATGATCGATCATCAAACAGACACGATAAAAGTATGAGACGAAATATCTCTGGTGATTATCACAAAGGACATTTAGCACTTGTCTGTTTATAAGTTAGTCACTTCAAAATACTTCTTTCCAATGCAATCGGAAGACACGGCTTAAATACCGGATTCCTTATGGCAATGTGACTTATTTCCGACGCTCATTCCTCTAGAGTAATATATATATATATATATATATATATATATATATATATATATATATATATATATATATATATATATAAAAAGAAAGAACAGTAAGATATTTTATCCGGTGTTCTTATAGATATTTTTATTTTTACAAAATAGTGCTCAATTTAAATTTACAGAGCATTAATATTACAAATTAAAAAAACATATTTTAAATCAATTAATTTATAATATATATATATATATATATATATATATATATATATATATATATATATATATATATATACAAATTTCAGGAATAAGTTATTCCAAAAAAAAAATCGCTTAAAGGTGGAACAGAGCTTTGTAGTTTAATTCAATTTAATTCAAATAATTATATTGAAGTTTATGCTCTTGTTTTGAAACATGAGAAATCTTATGTAGCGTTGGAATTATATTTTAAAAAATAATATATATATATATATATATATATATATATATATATATATATATACACATGGGTAATAATCCGTTGGTTCATAATCCAAGTGACATTCATTCCTCTAGAGCAGTGGTTTTCAACCAGGGTTCCACGGAACCCTAGCGTTCCGCCAGTAAAGCCCAGGGGTTCCGCAAGAAGTTACACAAGTTCTATGATTCACAGTAATTTTTAATTCTCCTGTGCAGATATGTGTGTTAAGGTACCTCCGCTAAATCAATAACAAAACATCATAGTATGAAAAGAAAAAAGTCCCAAACTTAAAATAAATGTAATCCATTTAAACTGAAGTTTTTTTAATACATGGGTTATAACCGTAGAATCAAGATTAAAATTGCATATGGACGTCTACAATATTTTTTTACAGTTTGTCTCTATTTTTTGTAAATAAATCTGAAGATAAGTATTTTTATTTTATTTTAATAATTGAAAGCTTTTTTTTTTTTTTTTTTTGCATAAGACAATTAATTTATTGCAGTGTTTCCTCAATCTACTGGAGTGTTTCCTTGTGGTTCCGCTCCAGCAAAAAGGTTGAAAACCACTGCTCTAGAGTAATAAATTTTCGGAGTTCATGAAGGCAATTATCATCTGCACACTAATAATATAGCGAGCCAAACGACCTCTTCGAAGGAATCATAAGAAGAGTAGAATAATTAACAATAATAATAATAATTGTCCAGCGTAATACACACACACACACACACACACACACACACACACATATATATATATATATATGTTTTAAAATAATTGTCGGACTTTGTCCATTTCATAATGTGTGACGTCATTCGTTTACATTTGGATACGCTTTGAGCAGATATGAATGGACGTGAGAGATTCATGGAATACTGTAGTTTAAAAGCAGTAAAATCGACCTTGTTAATCGAACGATCCTCTGTGGCGCAATCGGTTAAGGCACGTCATCTATATGACGGTTCCATATAGGATACAGGATCGAATCCTGTGGGAGTACGAATATTTTCTATGAAAATTTCTTGGACATTCAGGCCGGTAAATGTTATTAATACTGTTTATTATAAACAGAGCATTTACTTAAATATTGTTATCTATAAAAAGAATGTATAAACATAACAATGTCTTAAAGTAATTGTCGGACTTTGGCCATTTCATAATATATATATATATATATATATATATATATATATATATATATATTCAGGCAGGTTTCGTTAAATAATTTAGACACGTTCTGTCTACTTAAGCTCGATAGCCTTTCATATCAGCGAATAAGAGTTGTTAAAAGACGAGAGGAAAACACGTGATGGCTCATATTGTATTTATGCCGAGTACTTTCGACATAGCATAATGTCATCATCAGGGTATTGTTAAATATAGAGTAAGTATTTAGTGTTCATGGTTGTGAAGGAGAGAAATTGTTGTGGTCATCCGAACATTACCATTTGTATATATGTCACGAACGGAGTGTCATGGCTGGTTGACGTAGACCGTTTAAGGGGAAGAAACATGGTATGCTGTAAAAACTTGAATGCACTCATTTCATATATATATATATATATATATATATATATATATATATATATTACTAATTTGGTGGGGATAATTCCAAGGAAGATATTAATCCAGGGAGAGTTCAATGTAGACTACAGAGAATAATAATAATAATAATAATAATAATAACAACAACAATAATAATAATAATAATAATAGTAATTGGAACTTCTACGGGAAGGAAACTGAAAGAAACTGGTATGAACACCACCCAGAACCGGTTACGGAGATAGGACATGTTACAATTCTATTGGACTACACAATATACACTAACAGAACAATCAAAGCCAACCACCCAGACATTGTTATTAGAGACCACAAACAAAAAAAGTGCCTCTTTATTTATATGGCAGTCCCTGCAGACTGAAATGTGTCTTTGAAAATATTCAAAAGATGTCGAAATACAAGGACCTTGAAATAGGAATCTCAAAAATGTGGCACATGGGAACATCAACAATACCTGTTGTAGTTGGAGCCCTAGGATTGGTTGGAAAAGATTCCAGTAGACTAATTTAAGGGATTCATGGAAGTTCATGCCTCAAATAATACAAAAAATTGTTCTCACAAGTACAGCCCACACTTTACGAAGGGCTTTATCTATGTTTTTTTTTTTTTTTTTTTTTGTCAGTGGAAAGTGTCATGATGCCATTTCTAACCTTAGGTCTATGGTCGGGACCCGGAAAGAAATGTGTAAACGCCAGAAATTAAAGGAAATAATAATAATAATAATCACAGAGAAGAAAACCTTAAACATTTATTTCGGCTATAATTTATTTCATGAATATATATATATATATATATATATATATATATATATATATATATATATATATTCATCTCTTCAGAATGAAATTTAGTAAAATGGATTTTACTCAGCGACTTCGGTCTGAAAAGATGAATATATATATATATATATATTCACGAAATAAATTATAACCGAAATGAATATTTAAGGTTTTTCGTGAATATATATATATATATATATATATATATATATATATATATATATATATATATATATATATATATAACAAACTGGGATGCTGTGAATTTTAATTTTTTAATTTTGAAAAAGATCGGGAAAAGTTGATAACAGTAATATTATTAAAAGTAATAGTAGAATTGCAAAAATGGAAAGAAAGAAAAACAGAAAGATGAAATGAAGAAAAAAGCAGAAAAAAGTCTGTTGTAAAATAGTTCTTCACTATAAAGAAAAAGACAAAATACAAATGTTATACAAAGTGAATAATACACATAAAATAGAGTAGCTTTGGTCACAGGAGCCGGTGACAAATGTATCGTGAAAAATATGCGGAAAATTGCGGAATATTGCGGAAAATATTTCGCTGACCTCGTCAGTGATGGCCTGCGTATGTTCCGGTTTGTCGTGACATTTCATTGGTTGATTAAGACATACCCACAAGTCTATTTTTAATTCTGACCTTATGCCCCCGCCCTTTAACTTTCGGAAAAGAGGTAACAATTTGCTTTTAAATATCCTTAAAAATCATTAATTACCAGTTACTTACCATCGCCTGAAGAAGTACAATCATAGAATTGAAACATGAAAGATTTTGTGTAGCAATTTCAACAAGTTTTTATTATAATCTCTTATATATATATATATATATATATATATATATATATATATATATATATATATATAACATGCATAACCTTTATACGGAGTCTGTTTAGATATATCTTTGTTGGGTAACCCTGTCCAATCGGTCTTCAATTATTATTATTATTATTATTATTATTATTATTATTATTATTATTATTATAAGTGAATGCTCTTTCAGACCAGAGGGGGCTAGTGGCTGTCACTGAGTTTTTTTAGTTATACGACTTTTAACTGATTTTACATCAGCCTTGTCATCATCATCATTATCACCACCACCGCCATCATCATCATCACCACCAGCATCATCATCGTCATCATTGATACTCCCTCTTTTGTTTATATCCATCGGTGTAGAGCTAGTTACCATTATTTATATATAACACTGGTGGAAGTGATGGTATGTAAGCGTGATTTTTTGTTCATACTTACGAACAAGAGCCGGAGAAGGATATTAAAGAGAGAGAGAGAGTGTGTGTGTGTGTGTGTATATATATATATATATATATATATGTGTGTGTGTATGCGTATATATATATATATATATATATAATCATTTCCCCAAGCAATGAGTGAAAGCCACTGGTATGCATGGGTTTACTGGGTAAAGGTAGAATTCACTGGGTAAGGGGAATTAATAAAGAATAAACGATGAAATGAGTGAGATCCCAAAGTCTGTAGTTGGAAGGAGACTAAATTTCTTTTGCCTGATGTTAGCTATTTTTTTTTAGTTAATGTTGGGGCGTTGGATATTTTCCGGACAGAACATTCAAAGCATATGTGACAGAATATCAGGAGTAATTTACTTGTAATTGTGCAAAATAAATAATTAAAGGAACAGGTTTAATTTATGCGCAAATAGTAAAAAAAAAAAAAAAGAAGTAATCACATGAAGAAGACGAAAGAAAATGAAAAATTGGGAAAATTTTAGGAGGCAAAAAGTCTGTGTAGCGTCTAGATTATGGCCTATTGTAAACATAATCAGTGATCGTTGGCTTAATAAACACAACACGGTTTTAGGTCTCTGTTCCATCCATTACGCTGTATACCTTCTGATTCCAAATAGCGAAATGGTCAGGTTATATCCTGTGCTGTGGTGCTTCTCAAGATAAATACTGAGAGAATTGAGTAATATCTGGAAGTACCCCCATGTACCCATCAGAGTCTACCACATTACGTTGCGGACACTGACACATACACCGACTTTGTTTTATATTTCACCCTCCAGGGCTATTTTATTAAAAAGAGCAAAACAATCCACCAATGAATTTTGGTTATACTGACAGCATTTATGGCAGGCTAGCAACGCATCACCCCCCCCCCGCCTGACAAGCTTGCGTAAAGGGTTGTTATAAAATGGATTAGGAAAAAAAATACAAAATTTACTAAGTGCTACAAACTACAGGAAATTGGGGAGAGCCATGATAGTCCATGTCCTGAAGGGACACGGCACATAGAAGACGACGAATAAAATACAAAGTACTTAAGATATATTCCCATTCACAAAGCAAAAAGAATGATATTAATTAGAATAAAACCCGTAAAAATGAGAGGATTTATGTATGTATAGATCGGCATTTCTGGCTCGGATCAGTGTAGTATCTGTGCACTCTGCCCAGGATTAAAGTGATGCTACATGGCTTTCTGAGTAGAATCACTGTTTATCTGTGAACTCTGCTCTGCTTAAGGTCAAAGAGATGTTATCTGGCCTTCTATCTAGGATCAGTCTTATACCCGTACCCAGGATCAAAGTGATGATACTTGGCCTCTACCGAGAATCAATGTTATTTCTCTACTTAGCATCAAGATGAGGGTATCTTGCTCTTGACTTAGAATGAATGCTATGAATCTATCCAGGATCAAAGTGAAGCTAATTGGCCCTCAACATAGGGTAAGTGCTATATCTTTTCTCAGAATCAAAGTGATGAATGCTGGCCTCTACCTAGAATCAATGTTATTTCTCTACTTAGCATCAAAATGAGGATACCTTGCACTTTACATAGAATCAATGCTATATCTCTACTCAGGATCAAAGTGATGGTACCTGGTTCCCTCCGAAGGGTCAGTGATATATCTGTATCTAGGATCAAAATGACGCTACCTGACACTCAATATATAATCGGCGTTCTCCGCCTTAAATCAGTGGATTGATTCTGAGATCTTTCCATCAAGCAAGGATCAGAGTTCTATCAGTTGCCTATTTGTTGATTACCATCTGACAAGGGAATTTCAAAAAACCGTGGGAAAGAAGATCTGAGGGTGGAAATGTAGAGAGAAAGGAAATGAAAAGCGAGTGAAAGAAAAAGGCATAAGAGATGGAAACGAAAGATAGGAAAGGGTGTAGGCAAGTTAAACACAACGGAACATGAAAAGAAAGGTAAATAAAAGAAAAAGGGAGAGGGGATAGAAAAGAAAGAGAGGAAAGGTCGTGGGCAAGTTAAATACAAGGGAGCATGAAAAAAGATAAGCGCGTGAAACAGAAAGGAACAGAGGATAGAAACGAAAGATACGAAAGGGCGTGTACAAGTAAAAAACTACGGAACATGAATAGAAAGGCAAATGAAAAGAAAAGGATTAGGGGATAGTAACGAAAAGTATGAAAGGTCTTGAGCAATTGAACAATACGGAACATGAAAAGATAGGCGGGTGAAAAGAAATAGGTTTTAAGAATAGAAGCGAAAAACGGGAAAGGCCTTGAGCAATTGAACACTACAGAAAATGAAAAGATAGGCGGTTGAAAGGAAAAGGGATTTCGGATACAAGAGAAAAACAGAAATGGCCTTGACGAATTGAAGGCTACGGAAAAGCTAAAAACAGGAAAGGCCTTGAGCAATTGAACACTAAGGAAAAAGGAAAAGATAGGCGGTAGAAAGGAAAAGGGTTTTGGAATGGAAACGAAGGGTAGGAAAGGCTTTGAGCAATTGAACACTACGGAAAATGAAAAGATAGGCGGGGGAAAAGAAATAGGGTTTAAGGATAGAAGCGACAAAAAGGGGAAGGCCTTGAGCAATTGAACACTACGGAAAATGAAAAGATAGGCGGCTGAAAGGAAAAAGGTTTGGTGATAGAAGCAAAAAAAAGGAAAGGCCTTGAGCAATTGAGCACTAAGGAAAATAAAAAGAAAAATGGCTGAAAGTTAAAGGGTTTGGGAATGGAAACGGAGGGTAGAAAAGATTTGAACAATTGAAGACTACGGAAAAGGAAAAGATAGGCGGTTGAAAGGAAAAGGGTTTGGGAATGGAAACGAAAGATAAGAAAGGCCTTGAGCAATTGAACACTACAGAAAAAAAAAGATAGGCGGGTGAAAAGAAAATGGTTTGGGGATAGAAGCGAAAAACGGGAAAGGCCTTGAGCTATTGAACACTAAGGAAAAGGAAAAGATAGGCGGGTGAAAGGAAAAGGGTTTGAGAATTGAAACGAAATGTATGAAAGGACTTGAGCAATTGAACACTACGGAAAATGAAAAGATAGGCGGGTGAAAGGAAAAGGGTTTGGGAATGGGAACGTAAACAGGAAAGGCCTTGAGCAATTGAACATTAAGGAAAAGGAAAAGATAGTCGGTAGAAAGGAAAAGGGTTTGAGAATGGAAACGAATGGTACGAAAGGACTTGAGCAATTGAACGCTACAGAAAATGAAAAGATAGGCGGGTGAAAGAAAAAGTGTTTGGAGATAGAAGCGAAAAAATGGAAAGGCCTTGAGCAATTGAACACTAAGGAAAATGAAAAGATATGCGGGTGAAAGGAAAAAGGGTTTGGGAATGAAAACGAAGGGGAGGAAAGGACTTGAGCAATTGAACACTACTGAAAATGAAAAGATAGGCGGTTGAAAGGAAAAAGGGTTTGGGAATGGAAATGAAAGATAGAAAAGGCCTTGAGCAATTGAACACTACAGAAAATGAAAAGATAGGCGCTTGAAAGGAAAAGTGTTTGGGGATAGAAGCGAAAAAGAGGAAAGTTCTAGAGCAATTGAACACTACGGAAAATAAAAAGATAGGCGGATGAAAGGAAAAGGGGTTGGGAATGGAAACAAAAATAAGAAAGGCCTTGAGCAATTGAACACTACAGAAAACGAAAAGAGAAGCGAAAAAAAGGAAAGGCCTTGAGAAATTGAACAGGAAAAGGGATTCGGGTTAAAAAAAAGTGTTTGGGAATGGAAACGAAAAAAAAGGAAAAGAATACCACGGAAAATGAAAAGAAGGCGGGTGAAATGAAAAGGGTTTGACGATAAAGGAAAAAAGGAAAGGCCTTGAGAAATTGAACACTATGGAAAAGGAAAAGATAGTCGGGTTAAAAGAAAAGTGTTTGGGAATGGAAACGAAAAACTGGAAAGGAATTGAGCAATAGAATACCACGGAAAATGAAAAGACAGGCGGGTGAAATGAAAAGGGTTTGACGATAGAAGCGAAAAACAGGAAAGGACTTGAGCAATTGAACGCTAATGAAAAGGAAAAGATAGGCGGTAGAAAGGAAAATGTTTTGGGAATGGAAACAAAAGGTAGAAAAGGACTTGAGCAATTGATCACTGCGGAAAATGAAATCATAAGCTGGTGAAATGAAAAGGGTTTGTCAATGGAAACGAATGATAGGAAAGGCCTTGAGCAATTGATCTCTGCGGAAAATAAAAAGATAGGCGGGTGAAATGAAAAGAGTTTGGGAATGGAAACGTAAAATAGGATAGTCCTTGAGCAATTGAACATTACGGAACATGAATTGAAAAGCGGGTGAATGGAACAGAGTTTGGGGATAGAACGAAAAACAGGAAAAGACTTGAGCAATTGAACGCTACGGAAAATGTAAAGATAGGTTGGTGAAAGGAAAAGCGTTTGGGAATGGAAACCAAACGTACGAAAAAACTTGAGCAATTGAACAATTGAAAAAGAAAAGAAAATTAAAAGTTTGAGAATGGAAACGAAAACTGAAAGGAAAATTGTTGGAAAATGAAAAGAAATGCAGGTGCATGAAAATGTTTGGGGATAGAACGAAAAACATGAAAGGACTTGAGCAATTGAACACTACGGAAAATATAAAGATAGGTGGGTGAAAGGAAAATGGTTTGGGAATGGAAACGAAAAACAGGAAAAGGCTTTGAGCAATGAAACACTACGGAAAATGAAAAGATAGGCGGGTGAAATGAAAAGAGTTTGGGAATGGAAACGAAAAATAGGATAGAATTGAGCAATTGAACATTACGGAAAATGAATTGAAATGGGTGAATGGAAAGAGTTTGGGGATAGAACGAAAAACAGGAAAAGACGAGCAATTGAACATTACGAACATGAAAAGAAAAGCGGGTGAATGGAAAAGGGTTTTGGGTTCGAAGCGAAAAACAGGAAAGGCCTTGAGCAATTGAACACTATGGAAAATGAAAAGAGAGGCGGGTGAAATGAAAAGGGTTTGGGGATAGAAGCGAAAAACTGAAAAGGCTTTGAGTAATTGAACACTAGGGAAAAGGAAAAGAGAGGCGGGTGAAAGGAAAAGGGTTTAGTAATGGAAACGATAGGTAGGAAAGGACTTGAGCAATTGCACACTACGGAAAAGGAAAAGATACGTGGGTGAAAGAAAAGGGTTTGGGAATGGAAATAAACCATAGGAAAGGACTTGAGCAATTGAACACTACGGAAAATGAAAAGATAGGCGGGTGAAAGGAAAAGGGTTTGGGAATGGAAACAGAAGATAGGAAAGTTTTTCAGCAATTGAACATTACGGAACATGAAAAGAAAAGCACGTGAAAGGAAAAGGGTTTGGAGATAGAAGCGAAAAACAGGAAAGGACTTGAGCAATTGAACACTACGGAAAATTCAAAGATAGGCGGGTGAAAGGAAAAAGGTTTGGGAATATAAACGAAAGGTAGGAAAGGACTTGAGCAATTGAACACTACGAAAAATGAAAAGATAGGCGGCTGAAAGGAAAAGGGTTTGGGAATGGAAACGAAATGTAGGAAAGGACTTGAGCAAATGAACATTACGGAAAATTAAAAGATAAGCGGGTGAAAGGAAAAGGGTTTGTTAATGGAAACGAAATGTAGGAAAGGACTTGAGCAATTGAACACTACGGAAAATGAAACGATAGGCGGGTGAAATCAAAAGGGTTTGTGGATAGAATCGAAAAACAGGAAAGGCCTTGAGCAATTGAACACTACGGAAAATTCAAAGATAGGCGGGTGAATGGAAAAGGGTCTGTGAATGGAAACGAAATGTAGGAAAGGACTTGAGTAATTTAACACTACGGAAAACGGAAAGATAGGCGGGTGAAAGGAAAATGCTCAGAGGTTATAAACGAATGATCGGAAAGGGTGTGAAAGAAAAATTTATAAGTGATATGAACTAAAATGGGAAAGGCAGAAGGTAAGAAAAACCCTATAGAAAAGAGGAATGTTAGCGGGTAAGGTTAAGGCTAGATAAAAACGAAAACACAAAAAGAAGATTGAGCTCTACCTTTTTGATCTCGTAAAGTTGGTGAAACTCTATTAAATATTTCAAATTTGAAATGTAACATTATATATATATATATATATATATATATATATATATATATATATATATATATCAAATATGTGGTGCAGTTCAATTTATATTACAATGAATCATTCATACAAAAAGTAGAGTAGTAAAGTTAATGGTATAAAATGGCGAAAACTCTTCGCGAACAAAATTTTAAAGTTGCATTAACCTACGAACCACTCGATGAATGTTATGATCCTTGTTTTTAATAACTACAAGGTGGATAAGTTCTTTTTTTTTATCTGCAAGTACTTTCAACTTTACATACAGTCATCTTCAGGCACGGAAATTATTTTGTTTTTAGTAAAATCCAGGTAGCATCATAGACGAAAAAGTTAAATATGAATTGAAATATGTTGGGTTTTTTTTGGGTTTTTTTTTTTGGTTTTTTTTTATTATTTTGAAATGTGTTATTGTTAACGGATAAAAACTTTTGGAGCGTGCGGTCGCAACGCTAAGGTTGAATTATTTTTTTTTTTTTTTTTAAATTTAAGAGAGTGCGTTTTTTTTTTGTTTTCTTTACTAATATGGTTCTATATATTTATAGATGTAATATTTTTTGGTTTTCTGATTATTTTAAAACTAGAAACAACCATCGTTAATTTCGATGAGCTTTTCTTTTCTTTTGTTGTTTTTTAGTGACAATGCTCAGGTCGATCTACCTTCTACAACGTATTTACTTAAAATCATGTTACTTACTTAGAGGTTGTAGAATGTAAAAGCGACCTGGGCACTGCCAGAAGAGAAAAAATACTTAAACGATCAAATGAAGACAAAATAATATATAAAAAAAAAACAATATAATATCATTGTATTGAACGTATGGTAATATAATAAACATGGTATACAAGGTTTTTTTGCGGGGGACTACCACTCACTCAAATTCGAAATTATCCATTTTAAGCTTGTTAAACCATCTTCTTACCATAATGCTACTCAACTCTGTGCAATATCATTTTTATCATTTAATTCTGTTGGTTTAATAATAATAATAATAATAATAATAATAATAATAATAATATTTTCAAGGCTGATGGTAATATTATATATTTAATCTGAAGGAGGTAGAGGATTAGTTCAACTAGAATTGTCTTACAAAACTACAAGAATCGGCGTTGAAAGATACAGAAAACTACAGACGATGGAACGAAGATCTGTGTCACAGAACGTGAAAGAAGAAATTGTATTCAGTACTAATGGAAGCCGACGAATTAAAAATGGAATTTCAAGTGGTTGAAGAAATCTAAGTAAAATATAATCCACCTACTGCAGCAGCAATTGCTTTAAAAACAAAGCAAAAGCCAATGCAATGGACCAAATACAGAAACGCTGGCAAGATAAGGCTCTTCATGGTCAAACAATCTGATGTAGACAGACTACGTATCCATCAGTGGCTAAAGCTGAAATGGAATGTTTTATTTTTCCTGGACATGACCAATTCTTGCTAACTAGAAATTACCAAACATACAGATTGAAAAATTGTGTTAGCACAAAATACAGATTTTTTGATAAATATCCAGTAACAATTGAACATCAGTTTGTATGACGTTGCACCTTATTGGCATCCATTGAATATTAAACCCTGCACGACAGAGTGGTCCAATATGTATGTCGGTGTCTTTTTAGGTTGTTTTATTATCTATACATGTTTTCAAAATGTCATGACTCCATTTCTGACCTTAGGTCTGTAGCTGGAACGTGGGTGGAAATGAATATACAACAGAAATCAAAGGAAATCGTAATAAATACTACTACTACTACTACTAATAATAATAATAATAATAATAATAATAATAATAATAATAATAATCTTACTTAGTACAATTCAGGAATAGCCTTGCAAAAAGACCGGGAAACTAAAAATAATGTTAAAGTGTTTACGAGAATTGCTGTTGCCTCGCTTCGAGTGTGAAGCAACTAAGTGCTAATAATGAGGAGACTCATTTTGTTTATATAATAATAATAATAATAATAATAATAATAAGAAGAAGAAGAAGAAGAAGAAGAAGAAGAATTGTGTTAGCCCAAAATGCTGATTCTGTGATAAATATCCAGAAACAATTGATCATAATTATATCAGGTTGCACGATATTGGTACCCAATGAATATAAAACCCGGTATCACAGAGTGGTGCAATATGTGCATTGGGAAAATCTGCAACTGTTACGGAAAGGAAACTGCAAGAATTGGTATTGACACCACGCTGACCCGGTTAAAGACATTCGAGCTGTAACAATTTTATGGGACTTTACAATACCCACAGACAGAACAACCAAAGCTAATCGTCATGCCATTGTGATCAGGGACCTTCTGAATGACATGACAGTCCCTTCAGATTCTAATGTAACTTTGAAGATCTTCAAAAAACTATTAAAATACAAGGACCTTGAAAGGGAAATCTAAAGAAAAATGTGGCACAGGAAGACATCAACAATTCTAATTGTAGTTACCACCCACGATTTCATTGGGAAAAGTTCCGATAGACTCATTGAAGGGAATCCTGGTGGCCAATTCTGAAAGAAATATAAAAAATTCTACTCACAAGTACAGCTCACACATTACCAAGGAAAGAAATGTAAAATGTCTGTGATCATTATTTTTTTTAAAAATACTCAGTTGAAAAAATGTGACAATGCTATTTCAAGCCTTATGTTTCTGGTTGATACCCAGAAAGAAATGAGTATACAATAGAAATCAAACTAAAACTGTACCAGTAGTCATCGGAACACTGGGCCTCGTGAGAAAAGGAATGGACAGTTTTACTAAGTGTCCCAGGTAACATCAACATACATGTTGTCCAGAAGATCGCCCTACAAGGAACATCACAGTAACTAAGAAAAGTGCTATCAATTAAATGACAATTCTCCTATAAAGCCTAAGGACCATAATTTAGACCCGCCTCTACAGGATACAAAGCAGGAAACTTAGCATACACAAATAATAATAATAATAATAATAATAATAATAATACACTTAAAAATACTGCAAAATACTTAAAAAAGAAAGCAAGCGATCAGATACAGAAACAATGGCAAGATAAACCGCTTCATGGCCAATACTCTGCCCGTACCAAACAAGATGACGTAGACAAAACCCGTACCCATCAGTGGCTACGTAGTGCAGGGTTGAAAGCGGAAACTGAAGGTTTTATCCTTGCTGCACAGGACCAATACTTGTTAACTAGAAATTATCAAGCACACTTACTAAAATATTATGTTAGCCCAAAATGCAGATTCGGTGATAAATATCCAGAAACAACTGATCGTCTTGTATCAGGTTGCACAATATTGGCACCCACTGAATATAAAACCCGGCATGACAGAGTGGACCAATATCTTCACAGGAAAATCTGCAACTTCTACGGGAAGGAAACTGAATGAAACTGGTATAAACACCACCCAGACCCGGTTACGGAGATAGGACCTGTTACAATTCTATGGGACTACACAATACACACTGACAGAACAATCAGGGCCAACCGGCCAGATATTGTTATTAAAGACCACAAAAAAGTGCCTCCTTACTGATATGGCAGTCCCTGCAGACTGTAATGTTTCTTTGTAGACCTTCAAAATACAAGGACCTTGAAACAGAAATCTCAAAAATGTGGCACATGGGAACATTAACAATCCCTGTTGTAGTTGGAGCCCTAGGATTGGTTGGAAAAGATTCCAGTAGACTAATTGAAGGGATTCCTGGAAGTCCATGCCTCAAAGTAATACAAAAAATTGTTCTCACAAGTACAGCCCACACTTTACGAAAGGCTTTATCTATGTATTTTTTTTTTTTTTTGTCAGTGGAAAGTGTCATGGTGCCATTTCTAACCTTAGGTCCCTTGGTGGGACCCGGAAAGAAATGTGTAAACGCCAGAAATCAAAGGAAATAAATAAATAATAATAATAATAATAATAATAACATATCCAGTACTTGACTCACAATAATATTTCACACATCTGGCTGCAATGCGTGTGGATGGTATACCCTTATCAAACTGTTTTTCATCAGACTGGGATATTGGGTGACCAAACCATTTGTGCCACTCCGTTACTTTGTTGGAATGTTAATCTCTCTTTCACTCTTATTAACCTTTCAGTGCATCTTAATGGCTTTATTGCCTTCCTTGGGGCGAAATGACGAAAATAATATGAATATTACACTGACACGGGTAAATACATAGGACCTGTAACAATCTTATGGGCCTTGACAATAAACACAAACCGAACAATCAAAGCTAATCGCCCAGACATCGTGATCAAAGACAACAAGAAGAG